ATTTATCTAGAAGCATTTGCTTGAACACATCTAGTTGTTCATTTCTTCTTTGCACACATCCTTTGTAGGAAATTATGAACATCATCTACTTTGAGTTATACCTTTTGTGAGAAAGGAAGATTATATATTGTGTGTACATACCTCACAAAATTTCAGCATCTTGGAACATGATTTATGCAATAATAAACATCACACGCTCTCAAATGTTACAAAAGTTGTAATATCTGATGCATCGATCACTTTAGCCTTAAATCGATACCTGCATACATTCATATATCCATTGGTCCATTCCAAAGTATCCATATAATTCAGTTATTTTTAGTAAAATTAGACAAATTTAAAGCGAGTAAATAAGTATGCCAATTAAATATTAGAACATAAAACTAAAAAAAACTTGCTAAAAATAATTCGGTGCAACTTACTTCGTATGTAATTAGTAAACAAAATTTGTCTAGAAACATAAAATAAAATGCTAAAGTTTCTACCGAGAGTATATTTAAATGCCAAAAGTCTAAGTGTAAAAAGTCAGATTAATTTCTTGTGGGCGTTTTACCTTGGAATCACATTCACAACACGTTTTTTACAATCGCTGCAGTAGTGAAAGCGATTCCGTGGAACCACTTCTGACCCACACCTACATGCTGGTATAAATCGATCAGCAAAGCTCTATCATCCACACACCTGATGGTACCGTATACTACGTATTCCCCATCTTCTACGTAAAATAGGTCAATCATTGATTACAATCATTTTCAACTGTCATAAAGAAACATCTATTAAAATATGTATAACTAACCTTATTGGAATCCTTCAAAGACTCGATTGATTTCGCCTGCATATTATTCAAAAAATATTCCTCAATGGAGTACACTGGTCTAACACTCTTACCATGCGGTTTTATATTTATTGCTCGAACATATTCCAAGTATTTTTTTATGGGAGTATCATCGTGGCATATTTTTGACACTCTAAAAGAGTGTTCATGTTGGCTTCAGTTCATATCCCTTAGAGGTTACCTCAACCTTGAAAATATACATCTTTCCAAAAAAGAAGCTATCAAACTCTTGGTTTTTCAAAACTTCCATCCTGAGATTTTTTTTCAAGACAAATAATGCGTTCAAACTCAACTTTTATGTTTTACACATTACATTTTAACTGTCAAAGATAAAAAAAAATTGTGAAATTTTTGATGTTTTACATCCGTTTCACAATTTTTAGCAGCATTTACTTGATAAAATACAACCCATTTTTTACTTAGACAATTTATGTATGTTTTAATCATTTTGGTCAAAATGGTAATGCCAAAGTTATTAACCAAATTTTCATTTTCTTCTGACTTATTTTAACCATGTGTGGATCATATAAAAATAAACATCAGAATACAAAAATCAAGTTCATTACATCAATATGTTCTTTAGTAAACTTCATCTTGAGAACCTTCCTCAATCTATGTAGAGATAATGAGTGAAATGACATATAGACGAATAAAGTTGATTAACAATCTTTTAAACGGATACAGAAGAACTCAATAGAGTTTTAAGTTACCAATACCTTGAAACATCTTGACCTTAGCATGTCAACATACTCACCAAATAACGTAACATCTAACCTCTGTCTCGTTTACCAAAGTTTAAAAAATTGTCAATACACGTGTCTTGACTCTTAATTTAACAACATGATTTTTTTCCAATGAAAGTAAAATAATAACATAATACCCTTATGTTTCTAACATAATCACAATCATCTTCGTTCTTTTCGACTCTCTCACTATATATCTCTTTCATTTCCCATAGCAGAAAGAATATCCATAGTGACTGCAATATCATAATGATATTCAGAATAATTAACAATAACATATTCCATCTAGGTTACTATACCTCACTAATGTTTATTTATTCAAATAAACAATGCTCATCAGGTGAAAGGAAAGAATTACCAACTAAGCATGGGTAGTTCGAATCTGCACGCAAGATATCCGGGAAAGCAACCAACCTAATTCCATAAAGTGGTATTTTGTCACAACTTTTGCCAGTGAGAGTCGTCCTTGCTTGAAATTTTAGGCGAAACTCATGTCTTGAAGTGCGATAATATCCACTACTATTGTCGACGCCAAAATAAGAAAAGACATACTAAACCTTCATTGATTCTCTTTTCAAAAGTTCCCACCAAACTTTTTCGTGCAGTGGCATGGATAGTAGTTTCCTACACAACATAAAAAATAAACTAATCAATGTCTGTAGATAAAAGCACTTGCAGCATTAGATCAAGGTTTTGAAAGGCGAAAACGAGCCTCGAGGCGGTGGAGAAAAATGCCTTGAGGCGTAAGCCTCGAGGCGGAACGAGGCGTAAGCCTCAGTTCAGTTTGAAAAAAACAAAGCTAAAATGAATACTCCATAGTAATTACAGAATACATAATCCATAATCATGATGCTGAAATCTAAAGGCTTCAATTCCTGATTTTTGCAAAAAGTAATACCNCTCAAATCCGTCTTCAAACATGATAAAATAGATAAAGTTTCATGATTTTGTTATCTACTTCATAACCAAAATTAGACAAGTTTATTTCCACTACATAATACAATGAAATTTGTAGTTAAGCGACCTTCATACAAATTAAACAAAAACCATAGATGAATAGGGAGAGTAATGCTGGGAAAAGAAACAGAAATTTAAAGTTGGAAAAAAAATTTGAAAAAATTAGAAGGTGAACTAATTAGAATATGAAGCGATTTTTGTCCATAAAGAAGAATATGAAGCGATTATGTTATGAAAATGGAGAGACCGAAGGAACAAAAGGTGCGTTGTGGATAGGGGGTGCTGAAGTGCTGCGCGAGAACTGTGCTAGGTTGAGAATGGAGAGGCAGAAGTACAAGCAAAAAAAATCCTAATTTATCAAGTGTAAGAAGTTTTTAACAAAAACCTAATGCCCAAGATTGTTTTTAAAGGCCCAATTCCTTTGTACGGAGTATCATTAACCCATAGGTGCTGAATTTTTAATTTGAATAGAGGCTACCGCCTCAGTTTTGCCTCACCGCCTCAACCGCCTCGTACCGCCTTGGCCAGGCAAGGCGTACGCCTCACATACTCTTACCAAGGCTTACGCCTCTGAGGCTTAAAAGGCCCGCCTCACCGCCTTACCGCCTCGAGGCGGTCCGCCTCGAACGCCTTTTAAAACCATGCATATATATTTGTTTAATTATTTACTCTAAAAGCAATAAGAATATGCACATTGTAATGTTATCAATGATTAACTATAAAAGCACTTGCAGCACAGGATAATATTTGTTTATTTATTTAGTATAAAAGCACTAAGCATCTACTTATGGTAAAGTTATCAATGATTGACTATAAAAGCACTTACAACATTGGATATATTTGTTTAATTATTTAGCATACCAGCACTAAGAGTCTGATGATTGTAACATATTCAAGATGTACACTATCGGTATCTTAGTGATCTAAGGGAAAAAAAGTCAGCCAAACAATCTATGGATCAGATTCTGCAATACAAACAAAATCAAATGATAAAAGGCTAGCTAATCAAACAATATGTGGATCAGATTCTGAAACTCAAACAATAAAAAAATGATCTTACTCTCTCTCCTCATGTGAATATTTTCTGAACCATCCTCACCATGCACACCATACATTGTGTTTTTTTTAAAAGTAATCAGTCTTATTCACAAAGCACATTTGGTAGCATAAAAACACAAAGTACATTTGGTAGAAGAAAAACAAGAGAATTCCAATAAATAGAAAGAAACATTGATTACTTTATGATATTGGTGTAAGATGCACAAAAAGATTGATTTAAATCAAACTCCAAGTACCAAGCCATCAAAACTGTTTGAAGTAACTGACTGAACCAAATAATAATTTAAACAATCTCCAACCAATCAATTGATAATCATTTCTATAACACTATTACCATAACACACTTTGAAAGAACTAAATTGGTTCAACAATGAAAAGACACTCTTTGGTTAAAAGAATCTCAAAACACACAGACCATTGGTTTAATAAATAGAGTAAAGATGCAGCAAGGATTTACTTACGTGTTCCATGAATACCGTTTCAGTTGAATTCATTTCCTTTTCATAATTTTACACCGGCAACGTATACATTCGTATCACACGAACTAAAACCCTCAAACACGCACTGTTCGGAGTGATCTTTGACAAAGGATGATCGATCCTGGAAGACATGCCAATAGAGCAAAGGAATAAAAAAATGCATTGCATAGATTATATTTATATTTAAAAGAAGTTTCATGAACTCATCAAGAAACAAATTTTGTTGAAGTGCCAAAATTTGGTCAATCTTTTCCCAATTTGTAAGACAATTTGTCCTCAATCCCAAAGAAAATTGGTCTGGAAAATAATATTGATAATTGAATTCAATTTAACCAAAAATAATATCAAGTTGCTGTTTGTAGAAGGAAAAAGAGGATTTTTTTCTTAAAATTAAATTATGAATATCAATCCAATTGAATATATCCGCTACATCGTCAAATCACACACCAATCGGAATCGATAACTCCTACGAAATTGATGTTTGCAAAAGGAAAAAAAGGAACTGTTCATCAATCGATATCAATATTATCAATCAGAATGCGAGATCATTACCGGATTTTGCAGGATTTTGCAGATGAAGGAATTTTGCCGGCCTAGAAGGAAATTCCCGATTGCAGATGGTAATCGTGAAATGAAGAGAGGAAGATCGGAGATCGTAAGCTGAATTACATAATCTGGTTCAAGAAAGCACGCATAGAAGCTAAGTTAGAGGTAACAAGGGCAAAGAATGCCGTTTTGAACGCCTCGTATATCGAGGAGAAAGGCAGTGTTAATCCACTGTTCCGGCTTGCTAAGGTGCGTGAAAGGAAGGCCCGAGATCTGGATCGCGTGAGGTGCGTGAAGGGCAGCGATGGTAGAGTGTTAGTTGAGACTGCCAAGGTGGCTAAACGCTGGGGAGTACTTTAGTGAACTCTTAAATGCGGGAGGAGACCAGAGGCTAGTTCTGGATGAGTTGGGACAGCCCGGGCGTCTCGTGTGTATTGCCGACGCATTTGCCTGGAAGAGGTGGTTCGGGCTCTGCGCGGGATGCGTAGTGGGAGAGCTTTGGGACCAGATGAGATTCCGGTGGAGTTTTGGAAGCATGCGGGTCGTGGTGCGTGGGTTTGGTTAACCAAACTCTTCAATGTTATCCTCCGGACAGCAAGGATGCCTGATGAGTGGAGGGAGAGTCTCTTGGTCCCTCTGTTTAAAGGCAAAGGTGACATTCAAAGCCGCGAGAATTACAGAGGCATCAAACTGCTTAGCCACACCATGAAGGTTTGGGAGCGAATCATTGAGTATAGGGTGCGGAAAGGGGTTTGCATCTCTGAGAACCAGTTTGGTTTCATGCCTGGCAGATCGACTACAGAGGCCATTCATCTCATGAGGAGGTTAATGGAAGAGTATAGGGCTAGGAAGAAGGACCTTCATATGGTGTTTATTGACCTTGAAAAGGCGTATGATAGGGTGCCAAGGGAGGTCTTATGGAGGTGCCTTGAGGCGAGAGGAGTTCCCATCGTGTACACCCGCGCGATCAAGGATATGTACGATGGGGCTATGACTAAGGTAAGGACTTCCGGGGGCGACTCAGGTTCTTTCTCGATAGGGATGGGGTTGCACCAGGAGTCTGCCCTTAGCCCTTTTTTGTGCACCTTGGTGATGGACGTCCTAACTCAAGGTGTTCAAGAAGGGGTCCCATGGTGCATGCTTTTCGCGGATGATATTGTGCTTATCGACGACACACGTGAGGGACTAAATGATAAGTTGGAATTATGGCGCCTTGCCCTTGAGACGAAAGGATTCAGAATAAGTAGGAACAAGACTGAATACATGGAATGTCGTTTCAGCGGCCGGGATACAGAATCAGAGGTGGATGTCAGGATTGACTCTCATCTTGTACCTAAGGTAGACAGGTTTCGATATCTTAGCTCGGTAATCCAGGCTGATGGGGAGTTAGATGCGGATGTTGGACATCGTGTTGGAGTGGCTTGGGCCAAATGACAGTTAGCTTCAGGGGTGTTGTGTGATCCGAAGATTTCGCCTAAAGGTAAGTTTTATCGTTCCGTAGTCAGACCTGCTATGTTATATGGGGCAGAGTGTTGGGCGGTTAAGAAGACTCATGTGCGTCGTCTGCATGCGGCGGAGATGCGGATGTTACGATGGATGTGTGGGAAGACAAGGTTGGATAGGATTTTGAACGAAGTTATCCGACGTCAGGTAGGCATGGCACCGGTGGAAGATAAGTTGCGGGAAGCAAGGTTGAGATGGTTTGGCCATGTAAGACGGCGGGATGCTAGCGCCCCTGTACGGAGATGCGAGAGGATTACGGTTATCGGGGGGAAGTAGGGGAAGGGGTAGACCTAGGAAGAATTGGAAGGAAATGATTAGGCAGGATATAGGACTTCTCGACCTGACTGAGGATATAGCCCTAGATAGGAACCTTTGGAAAATTAGGATTAGAGTAGCTGGATAGGAGCTCGGTGTTGTAGAGGTTGTTTTGTGGTTTGTTGTATTTGTTAGGAATCTTCTGCTATTGCTTGTACGTGTTGCTTGTACTTGGTATTTTATCTGTGTTATACTGTGTTCCCTTCCATATTTTTGTGCAGGTGGAGCCGAGGGTCTCTTGGAAAAACCTCCCTACTTCCGAGTAGGGGCAAGGTCTGCGTACACACACCCTCCCCAGACCCTACTGTTGTGGGATTCACCTGGGTTGTTGTTGTTGTTGTCCGTGGAAAACTTAAAGATAAAAACCTTTGGATCAATTGCTGACATGGCTGCTCATATGTTAAAAAAACGAATTAAGCTAGGGGTACACCAACATGGGGTACCCCAAGTGTACACCAAAGCCAACACAGACACACACAGACACAAAATGTCTGTGTTGCACAGACATTTTGTGTCTGTGTGTGTCTGTGTTGGCTTGGTGTATACTTGGGGTACCCCATGTTGGTGTACCCCTAGCATTGCCCTAAAAAAACACCAAGGAAGCTTGACACATGTCGCAATTCTAAAAGCTAAACTCTCAAATATTATATATAATAATAACTAGTATTTCGACCCGTGCCATGCACGGGGTGGAACAAATTTTTTTGTCGATTCTAAAAAAAATTTAATGCAATATTTCTGTGGAATAAAGAAAATATACTTCTCACATGATTTTTAATACCATAGAAAAAATAAAAGTGGAATAAATAATATTTGAGTAATTGAATGTGTACACAACAAAAAAAATTTAATACAAATTTTTTTTGAAAGACTTAAGGGTATACAACATTTTTAGTATGGATGCAATTGTTTTCATTGTCATTTAGGACCAACATTTTTAGTATGGTTGCAATAAGAATTATATAATAATAATAATTATGTAAACTATAAATAACAAAACATTACTAATTTTAAGACTTCAGAGAGAATGACTAATTTGGATAAATCTAATGTTTGCAGTATTTTTGCTCGATCAAAAGCACATAATAAAATTAAATGAGAAACAATTACCACCAATATAATTTTTGAAAAATTTCTTTATGCACAATGTTCCAAAGGTGACCTAAAAGATTATTTTTTTCATCGCATGTCAAAATTTAATATCCTTCTCAATTTTTAACACGTAGGATAACAATGAAAAAGAGACAGTGGCTATAAACTGGCTTTTAAGTAGTAGGCCAACATGTGGTAGAGACTGTCTTTGACTTTCATTAATGGTGCATATCAACTCGTGATGGAAAAATGTTATTTTGAAATGTTGCCTAACACGTTTTTTTTTTCCAAAGAAAATGAACATCGCACTTTGCAAAGCATTCAAAAAAATAAAAGAAAAAATGGAAGTTTGAGGCTTCTGCAGGAGTAAAATAGGACATCATCGAGGGTGCTGTATAATGTTTGGATGATTGAATGCCTTAGAAATCCTATCATCATCAAACCCAAACAGCTCCATATGCAGGTTGTGTCTTTGTATGCAAAGAACAGTTTCATCTTCAAGAGGATAAACATCCTTATAAATATGCCACAAATCAAGAATCTCCGCTTACTAACAATTCTCTTTGAATTCTGAAAATTACATGAAGATGAGTTACTTTTGTTTGTTATCCACTAAGGAAGAATTTCATTTTATTTCATGACATGAATCTAAATGAGCATGATGTAAAAAGCCGATTATCTTATCTTTGTAATCGTCTTAATCTTAATAGGTATTGTGTTTTAATATCAAAATTTATCATGTAGAATGGATTCTTTTAGTCTAATATTTTTTAAAAATGTTAGCACCAATATGCAAATAAGAAAAAAAGAGTGTCATTTTTAAGAGACTTATAAGTTCATGTATTATGATTGTAGTGTAGCATGGTTTCTTTTATGGCATGAATTTCAAAACACGACCATGGGAAATCAAATAAAAAGGTAATTAAATCAACTCCAGTTTTGATAAATAAAAATTGATTGAAGTTATGTGTTAAACTAAATTGTTTCAAGATTTAAACACATCTTGATCCTTAAAAAGCATCTTCAAATAAACATTTTATTAGTTTACTCTTAGCAATTCTGGCCAAAGCTTCATATCAAACTTTTAAAATTGAGAATGCACCTCACAACATTGTGTACTACTGTCTCTTATTTTTAGAAGTACTCATTAAATTATAGGCTACTTCAGGCTAATTCAGGCTAATTCAGGCTAATTCAGGCTACTTCAGGCTAATTCAGGCTAATTCAGGCTACTTCAACATTCTAGAATTCTTGCAGACATCAATTTCCCAAGAATGTCGTTTCTAGGTAGGTATTTTTTCAAATTAGTCTATTTTCAAAATAAAAACTCATTAAATATGAAAAAATAATTTTAAATTTTTCAGAATGAGAATATAATAAACTAAAATATAAATTTAGTTTAATAATTAAACTTGAAACTAAGCATTTCAGGTTGTTTAATAATTTGAAAGTAAAAGTTTTGTTAAATATTTTATTTAAAGGATATTCATGTAAATAAATGCTAACATTCTAAAACGTTACTTTCAAGTTTATAAAATTATATTTGTAGTTTCATTCATTCTATTATCATCCTATAAAATATGAAATTATTTTTTCACATATAATGAGCTTTTATTTCAAAGATGTACAATTTGAGAATAACAATCAATTAGTAAGGAAAATTTTTGGAAACTAGTGTCAATTTTAACATCATTTCGATGCCGCTTTGATGACTTTTAGTAGGAGATGAGTACTATTCTCAACTAATGAGTATCATCTTGATAATTAGTTCATCTTAGAGACCAATTTAGGAAAATATATAATTATTGATTACCCATTTTTGGAATTTACTTGATCTTTATCTTTGATTTGATGTTTTTTATTAGACCCATCGGGGCGGTCGCGTGATGGTGTGCAATGATAGACATGATGCTACCTAAGCCAGTGATGACCGTGGAACACCGCTCTCCTTGGTGTGATCATGGTGCGCGTGATGGCCATCACATACGCCATGGCATATTTGTTTTCTTGAGTAAATTCCATAAAAGATCCCTAGTTATATGTCGTTTTACATATTTAGTCCCTATATATCAAATATTACTAATTTAGTCCCCAATTATTTTATTCATTTCCACAAATGGTCCTTTGTAAACATTTCCATTAAGAACGTGGATAAAATTGTAAATTCACACTCGTTTTCTCCTCAATTAAGCTTCCTCCCTCCCCTTGCTCTCCTTTCCCAAACCCATCGCTAAGTTTGAAGCTTTGACCCAAAACCGAAATTGTAACGCCCCGAAACCCGGCCTATCAAAATTAATTAATTAGAATTAATTAATTAATTAATTAATTAATTAATGAGACAGACTCGGTGAAAATTGTAAAAGCTCTTCGTTTGAGAATAAAGATTATACCGTTGGGTAGGGTTCGACGGATCGAATCTAACGGTGAAATCTAACATTGTATGGGCCTGAAAGTGTGTTTGGGCCAGGTACGTTCAGTTAATACGGAACCCAAAACCACAAAAAGTATAAATATGCTCCCTACAAGTCCCAAAACCCTCACGCCACCATATTTACGTAACTCCCTCCCCTCTCTCTCTCGTTTCTCTCGATCAAAGGACAGCATCGGCGCAGGAGAAGGAGAAGAAGAAGAAGAAGAAGAAGAAGAGAAGAAGAAGAAGAAGAGAAGAAAGAAGGAAGAGGAAGGGTTCGATCATGTCATTCATTGGTATTATCTCGTAGCTTTTAATCATCGAATTCGAGGTGAGTACGAGGTCATCTAACTTATGGTTATATTTGTAGGTTTGAATCTTACGTTCGTAGAATCGTTACGGTTGATCTATTTGGACTATACGCGAATTATGCCTTGTTTATGTCGTTGAGGATTTGAAAAGCATGAGTTGGGTTAGAATGGTTGAGGGATGGTTAGATAATGTTAGGTTGATGATTCATGACCTGTTTATGCTTGTTTTCACTGGAATGGATGTTTTTTGGTGGACGGAAATAGAGCTGGTGCAAGTCTGGTGTTCTCCGCTTCAGATGGTAGGGGGGTACCGTTGACACGACACATGGCTACCACCAGCCTCCCCGGTTTCGTCTCTCTTTGCCGGTACCTGTCACCAGACGGTACCTAGGTGCCGGATGGGCGGTAGGCCGAACCGCTTGGTCGAGAGAGGCTACCGCGACAGCCTACCGGAAGATACTCCACCTGAGACGGTTGGTACCCCCGTACCGTGGGGACAGTACCCTGGTACCGTGGGGCCAGTAGCCCCTACCGCCAAGGGTACTGTGAGGTGCCTGAACTGGTTTGAATTTTTTGTTTGCGTCGAGGACCGATTTCGAGACTTTGTGTGTTGGATGATGGTAAACATGGGTGCTAATACCCAGCATTAGGCCGATGTTTGAGTATGTTGGATGTGATGAATGATGTTGTATGACACATGAATACCTAGACTGAACTCTAGGAGCTGACCTAAAAGGATCAATGGCAAGTTATGCCATAAGTTAGTAACTTAGAGTCATGTGGTATCTGCTGGGTCCAATGGATGTCTGGGTAAAAACGTGTACACGGGGATCTAAGAACTGTCGTTCCGAAGGGGACAGGGATCTCACCCACCCAATGAGGAACTCCCGATTTGGTTTGAGCTTGACTTCGTTCCGAAGGGAAAGGTCATGACTCCCATAGGCAATTCGTATACAGTTAGGCTTTAACCTAGCATAGGTCAAGAGCCAAGTACAGAAAGAAAGTAAAGTAAACAAAGAGGAAAGTGCTTGTTATTACATCCTGTAAATTGTACCTCTTGAATGATGATGTTACTGGTTATGTATGTTATATCATGTATGATGTATGAATATCTTGAGCATGTTGTGTGCATGATATCGTATGAGGATATGGGCTAGTGGGATCATCTATGGGTATAGCTCTATGTTAAATATTTCTCACTTAGCTTCAACGCTGAACGTGTAGCCCTTTTTTCTTTTTTGCTAAACGTAGGTAATCCAGGAAATGATGAGCTTGGAGCCAATCCCAGAGGGCGATGAGGAGGCTGAGATGTGCGTGGCGGTATTTGACGATTTTGAACTATTATTATTATTTAAATAACTTATTACTATTTCGGGCATGATTTCCAAGTTGTGTTTTGAATTACGAATTAAGTCTCCGCAAACGTTTTGATTTACTCCGATGGATATTAAATGCTGTTTGATTT